TAAAAAAAGAGCCGATGATCTTCCTCGATATGCATCCCTTAGATGAATCAGGATTATCCTCTTCTAGTTCAGCAGACGTCTACCTTGCAGATGATGAAGGACCCCCAGATATAGATGGCAGCACATCATGCAGCTCACAGGATACTATTATTCTTCCAATGTCATTCCGCTCTGCTCAATGGCCAGTGCCATTTCAGGTCCCTCAGTTTTCTCGTGATATTGAAATCATCCTTGTAGAAGCAAACAAGTTATATCATGACTCTGGAACACTCTTCAGAGATCCAAGTGTTAAATCTGCAATAATGCATGACCTGGCCAATGTCCTATTCTCCTATACAGCCTACCCTTCAAGCCAGCAAATACTGGCAGTGGCTGAAGCTCTTGTTGAAATGTTCCCCTGTCTTAAGAAGCCTGGGTCATTTGCAGGGCTGTATGGCTGGCAGCAGCGAATCAAGTACAAGATGCATAATCACTGTGCCAAGCTGAGAACACGGAAGTATGCCTATCCTGAGATTGAAGTAAACATATTAAAGCGAAAGCTACAAATTAATGCAACCCCAGCAAAAAAATGTAAAGAAGGCAAAGAAAGCTGAGGTTAATTATCTCCCTCCACATCCTATTGGGGAAAACCAGGACACATTGGAGAAGGAGAGACTGGAATTAATCAATGAGGTGCAAAAGAAGAACAATGCAAAAATAATCAGAAAAATTGTCGAAAACCTTTACAAGTCGAAGACTGGAGGTGATGACTCTCAGTCCAGCTATCAGTGTCTTAAAAGAGAGGTGTCCTGCGTTATTCACTGAGCTTCAGGTAAAACTTTGGATTTTTTTTCCCCAAACAAAACAAATGTACAGAAACATTTGACTTCTTAAAAGCTGAAAGTTTTTTCAGTTGTTCATTTACTAAGACCACGTTCACACTGCAGGCTGAAGTGACTCAAATCCGATCTTTTTGCCCAAATGCGACCCATATCCGATTTCATTATGACAGTGTGAACAGCACAAATCCGATTTTTTCAAATCCGACCCAGGCCAATTTCATATGTAGTCCCAAATCGGATATGATTTGGGACTATATACGGTGGTGATAACGTTTCCCTTCTCACTTGGAAATTATTAATGAATTCTGTGTCCGTGAAGCCCCTCACGGAATCCCACCAGTCCTGGCTCCGACTCCACACCCACACATTCCTCTGTACAGAGGTAGCAGCCACTGCTCCACAAAAGGCCATAAGCAATATTTGTGCTCTCTTTCTTCTTGATATTCTTCTTATTATTATGTCTTTATTTCGATTGCAAATTCTCAGGTACATCGCTACGCACATGCTATCACGAGCCACATCCATTTTTATTTCCGCAAACACAGTATGCTGCGTCTGACGTCATGTCCTCTTCTGCGCATGCGAGTCACTTCAGGGCCGTATACCGTTCACACGAGACAGATGGCAGTCGCATTTAAATGACAGTGTGAACAACAGTGCAAAAAAATCGGATTTCGGCAAAAAATCCAATCTGAGCATTAAGACCTGCAGTGTGAACGTAGTCTAATTTACTAGGTCAAAGAAGAGTTCTGTCGTATCACAACGGTTTCCCTGGAAGACACGTTCATGCAGAAACTTGATGCTTACACACCGTGTCTCCTGCAGCTGATGCGTGCCAAAGGAGGAGCTGTTGGTTCCAGGATGCGTCCCCTTCTGGACACTGTTAATGAGGTATATTATTACATAATTTTGTTCACACAAATGCAGTGCAAGGGTGTGGAAGTGAAGCAAAGTTTGTATACACTTAAGTAATTTTAAAAAATGTATCTATTCGACACACTATAGTTTGGTAAGTTGGTCAGGACCTCTCCTTTTTTGTGCAGTGCTGAGGTGATTTGATGTAATCAATGTCATCAATTACTTCAATGTGCTGATTTCTATTATGTGCAAAGGAGCATTGCCTTGCAAAATCTATACTACAGACACATTAGGGCTGTTTCACACTGGGTTCCCGGGAATGTTTCTGGGCACACTTGCCCGGGAGCAGCAGTTTCTCCCCCTCCCTAATCCCCCGCAGGTTTGTGTTCACACTGGTAAAATCCTTCTGTTCCTGGGAACACTTTGTTACCATAACAACCGATACATCCACCTGTTAGTGTGGATGTTTTTATTGAAAATTCCAAATAAAAGTTCAATTTATTACCATAACCATTGTCTTTTATTGTTTTTAATTGAGGTAGATTCAGTGCACGTCTTATCTGTGGGTGTGTGTGTGTGTGTGGGAGCGAGAAATGCACACAGGGCTTACTCTGGCCCGATGCGAGTTTCTTTTGTCTGGCTGCACTGACATTAGTTTGCTCTTTGATCAGATCAGGCGCTGTAACTATTTTTAATATGTCATTTGTTAACCTCATATCATTACAAACCATTATCTGACTGCAGCTCACGGTGAGTGACGTGTGTAACAAGGTGTTAAATGTCACACGCTGTCCGAAAAGTCCAACCTTCCATGCCCTGAAATGTTTCCCAGACCACCTCTGCAAGTGTTCCCGAGAACCAACCGTTTCCCGGGCCAAGTGTGCTCGAAAACATTTCCAGGAACCCAGTGTGAAACGGCCCTAAATAAATTAATTGTATTGTATAAATTATTTTTTTCATCATATAGATTAAAACCTGATAGATGAGTGATATTTTGGGTTATCTTGTCACTAAGATGCATTTCCTTACAGTCCTAGAGTGTTGAGAAAAAAAGGGATACTGTTGGAGTGCCTTGCTCGCATCAACGTGTCCTCTCCTGAGCTCAAAACCCTGTCCTGCCCTGTGTGTCGCAAGTTGACTGAGCTCCCCCATGGCCAGGACCTGCCCCGCCTGGGCAACAATAGGCAAACTCCCAAAAGATATGCAGAGGGCACTGTCTATCCGCTTCCACCGCAGCAAGGGCAAACTGCTCCTGAAGAACCCTCCTCCCGGCAGCCAAACTAAGCTCAAGGCCCTTACCCTGCCTAAAAAGAGTCATGGCAGCCAGGTGCCAGCAGGCGGTGACCTCCACTCAGGTACAGTGGAGCAGGAAATAGCCACAACCACTGTGATCAATGTAGGCAGGCCTCCCAGCAGGATGAGAGGCCGTTTGCGCAGTCTCTTTCGCTTGGACTGGTGCTATTAAGCTGTGGTGGCATCCATCATCTCCATCACTGTGGTGGTCCTGTTGGTGGTGATTCTGGCTTTTGTGATCATGCTGAATGTGACATTTACAAGAAGCCTGTAAACCAAACGCCACAGAGCACCTCAGGGAGTGAAGACTCAGGGGGGCACTGAAGGAGCAGGGAGGGACAAAAGTGGAGGGAGAGAATATCACACAAAAGCTTGTCATTCTCAGTGATCCTTATGGCATCTTTTTCCTCCTGGGAGCGGGGGTGATGGCAAAACTAAGCACTGGTTTGCATTTAGTGGCAGCAAAGAGAAATGAAGGAAAAGAAGGACAGCAACATTTTTTTTAAACAAAGGACGAGCTGGTCTAAAGTTGCACACGAAGATTCCTGGCACAGTCGGATGTTATTATTATTTGTTTAACCTGTGTTTTTCTTTGAAGAAGCTTGTAATTACTGTGAAAGCCAGAAATATGTATAACAAAAAATAACAATAAATATGCTCTAAATGCTGTATTGCACTCAACCCTGTGATAAGGAAGTCATCCCTATCATTTGATTGCATC